TTAAACTTTCATTCGATATAAGACATTCTAGGTTTAGAATTCCTTTTTCTCTATGTACTGAGTACTAACAAGTGTCGACGTCATGCATTTTATGAAAATTTATTCTGTACTTGAGAATAAAATTAAAAGATTATTATTTGTATACTATGTAATATCATTGATCATTCTAGTTTTATATCCAGAATATCCATATTAACAATTTTATACAAATTTGGTGTTGCTATAATAATAATTAAAATTTTTATATGACTAAGTTCGGTCAGGCAATATTTTCATATGAGTTTCTACATGAGCATTTCAAATTCGTTATAATTTATATACAGGGTGTCCTGTTCATGTTTCAAAAAAACTTCTGTGCAAGTTCCTCATGGGAAAATAATAGGGGTAGTTCATGTAAAGTTGTTTTCTTAGACGCCCTGTTTTCGAGATAGTGTGTTGAAGTTGTTACTTTCCAAATGATTTTCCTTAATTATGTTTAAATCGGATAAAGATAAAAATGTCAAAATTTGTACACGAGTAAACATCAACTGTACATTAAGAATAATGTGCAAATGGTTTCTTTCTGAAAAGCAGTGTCGAAGATACAGGTAATTGAAGGGGTACAAAAGGTATACTTATCGAAATTCGGTAGCATGTACTATTTTCGAGAAAAATGAAGTTGCATTTTTTTGCTCACATAAAGCGGCACAAATACATAACAAAATATTAAATTGAAAGAGGACCTTACCATTGAATGAGCTGAAAATATTTAGCTACCAACAGTATTTGCATTTAAGACTATAATTTTAATTTCTTACGTATCACATGAGACAGTTAAATTGTAAATTATTTTATTAACCAAAAAAAAAAAAAAATTAAAATTTATTTTAAGTTTCAGATTGTTGTAAAAACATTTAAAAAAGTAAATCAAAATAAACAGATTATGGTAATTAATTATCTATTATTAACTAATTTTAGATTTTGTAAACTACTACACTACCATTACTGAACAATTGTTGAATGGACTGAATTGTTGATGGACATGAATGCTTAAAAAAAGTGATAAAAACAGAAAAATATTAGGAAACAGACTCGGAGACATACAGAACAAAACAGTCGCACAATTAAATAAATGTGCAAACTCGAAATACTACAGTAGATACTGAGATTGACCCCCATTTCCTTCTACGCAACTTCATTTTTCTCGAAAATGATACATGCTACCGGATTTCGACATGTATACCTTTTTTTGTAGTATGCTTTAGAGTTTGCAGAACCGTTTAGAAATGTAATAAATTTTGACTTTTAACGTATTTTTTTTCGATTGTACCCCTCCAATTACCTGTATCGGCGACACTGCTTTTCAGAGTGAAACCGTTTGCACATTATTCTTAACGCACAGTTGATGTTTACTCTTGTACAAATTTTGATATTTTTATCTTTAGCCGATGTAAAGATAATTAAGGAAAACCATTTGGAAAGTAACAACTTCAAATAGAATGTCTAAGAAAAAAACTTTACATGAACTACCCCTATTATTTTTCCGTGAGGAACTTGCACACAAGTTTTTTTGAAACATGAACGGGACACCCTGTATATATGCGTACACACATCCGACGAATTAGTTATTTTCGTGCCTAATTTTATTGAAATAATTCGTAAAAACAATAAAATACAATAAAAATGCTGGATAAAAGTAACAAAGTTGAGGTTATTAAATTTAGTACAACTTATTATAAAAACTGTTCAAAATGACCACCGTTATTTAATTAACCTTTATTGTAGCAACAAAGGTTAATTCAGGGAAGAAAGTTAAAGGGCACACTTTGCAGTTTCTTTTTTTAAACATTTATGGCATTTCGGATATGCCTCCACAACTCAGTTGTGTTAGATGTGGAAATCATACACTGTTGTTTTCAAAGTACCCCAAAGATAATAGTCGCAAGGTGTTAAGTTTGGTGAACAGGCCAGTTGACAGGAAATTGTTCCCTCTACCGATTCATCGACGAGGGAAGAATCTTTGGTTCAGATACTCCCAGACATTTAGAGTGAAATGTGGTGGAGCGCCATCATGCATAAACCACACGTTAGTGCTAAGTAATAACAGCACATCTTCCAATAACTCGGGTTTTGCAAAAATTCTAGATAAAATTCCCCATTCAGTCTATTGGGTAGAATAACAGGGCCAATAATAATGCTATAGTCAATCTACAAAATCAGAGCCTATTAGCACTTTGTTAAGTTAGGCTATTGATTATGTCTTAAAAAGCAGGGTACTAAGAAACTACAGCGTTGATGGGTTTTTATTGCATGAATAGTTCAAATGGTTATTCAGAAAGAAAAAACCGTGGAGTGCTATTAAATTAGAGGGTGGAAATTGGAGATAGGGGTGAAAATGCAACCCTTACGGTTTTTTGAGTATATCTCGAAAATGAAGCAAAATTTGAGGGTATTGCACAGGAAAAATTTTGTAGATAATGAGATTTTCAATCGAAATAGCTTATTTAAAAAATTTAAAAAAATTATTTACTACAAAATATATTAAAAACAATTTAACAAAAAAAATTCAAAAAATTCAATTTTTTATTTTTTTTTACTTTTATGCAAATAACTTTTTTCTGAGCAGAGATAGGTATAGGCATTGCTTTATAGAAAAAAAAATTTATAAAATTTCCTTCAAAAACAAGAGGTTGTAGAGTATTTTTGGATGAAAATTGATTGATATATGGCCGCTCAAACTTAGCCAATGTTTCGATTTTCGTCGCGTTTACCCTTATATGTTTTAATTCTCATTTTTTGCAAAAAAGGAAGGAAATAAGACATTCAAGGATTTTCATCACATCTTGTTCGAAGGGTCATTAAAAATGAAAAAACCGCGGGATGTTATTAAATTAGAGGGTTGAAATTGAAGATAGGCATGAAAAACCACTTTTGCAGTTTTTTAAATATAGCACGAAAACGAAGCAAAATTTCAGTATATAGCATAGGAAAAATTTTGTAGAGAATTGAATTTCTCATCGAAATGGCTTATTTGAAAAATGTAAATGGAAAATTTTATGCAAAAAATCGTTAATAAAGAATTTTAAAGAAAGCAAAAAATAAGAATTTTTAATTTTTTTACTTTTTGAATAAAATAATTTAGCAAAAACTTCAGAATTTAAGTACAATAAAGTTTATTAATAATGTATATACAGTGTGTCCACGGATGGAGTTGACAAGAGGAGAAACTTTTGTCTTTGACTTTATCGAAAAATGTCACTCTTTATAAAAAGTTCTGCCCCTTGAAAAAATGAGTCTCTCATACAAACGTCTTAGGTTAGATATATAGGGTGCTCATAAATTAAAAAACATGAAAATACTCAAAAGAGAAGTCCCATTATTTATTATTTTACACAACATTTTTATAAAACAAATCTGTTTATAACCTCAAATAATGTCCTAATACAAATTTTAAAATAAAAATTTCAATTCTGACTTATACTCTATATGTATAGCTACTTCCCACATCAAAAATTAAAATTTTGATTTTAAAATTTGTATTAAGACATTATTTGAGGTTATAACAGATTTATTCTATAAAAATGTTGTGTAAAATAATAAATAATGGTACTTTTCTCTCGAGTATTTTTGAACGTCTTATTTCCTTCATTTTTAGCAAAAAATGAGAATTAAAACGTATGAGAGTAAACGCGACGAAAATCGAAAAATCGAAAAGTTTTTGCGGCCATATATCAGTCAATTTTCATCCAAAAATACTTTACAACCTCTTGTTTTGAAGGAAATTTTGTCTACTGTTTTTTCTATGAAGCAATGCCTATACCTATCTTTACTCAAAAAAAAATAAAAAATTGAATTTTTTGAATTTTTTTTGTTAAATTGTTTTTAATATATTTTGTAGTAAATAAATTTTTTTAATTTTTTAAATAAGCTATTTCGATTGAAAATCTCATTATTTTCTCATTTAAAAAATATTTATTTATACCCAAACTGCTTATTTAATAAAAATTCTATAAGACGTCGAAAAACTTCCAAATAATACCATCAAAAAAAAATAGTTGTCATTACCTGAAAGAGGAAAAAGTTATGAAGGGATATTATCACCATGCATCAATTTTGCAGTTGTAAGTTATAACCAGAGAGTGGACAATTTGTGTCTTTAACCTTGAACATAGATATGTCATTCATAAACCTAGATACATTACCCATGACGCAGTGGCGTGTCGGGCATGCATCGGAAATTTACGTGATAATTCACGAAAATTCCACGGTACATACATTTTTAGGCGTTATAAAATATATAGAAAATCAGAAATTGTATACTACATATTTATTAAGTAAAGTTCGGTTAAAAATAGTGTCGTTCTTTTAATTAGAAATTAGGAGTCAATGTAACGAATATCCTCAGGCGACGCACATGATAGAATAGTCCAACTCACGCTCCATTCATAACAGGGCTGCAGTTTGAATTCTGACCAATAGGAATTCGATAAACGCAACCGATGTCGACGGATGGACTAGAGATGGGCGCGAGTGTCATTTCATTTCTTTAGAACTAAATTAACTTAATTATTTTCTCGTTATTTAACCTGTTCACATGATTTATGGATTTTAAATAAAGGGTACAAATCTTCGCGAGGATAATACGATATATTTGCTATACATAATAATTATATTTTGCATAGTTTATACACAAAACATTTTTGAACGCGTACACATCTCTACCAAAATGTGACCTATTCTTCGGGTTAAAGACACACATTGTCCGCTCTCTAGTTATAACACCAAAATGTGTAGATTGAAACCAAAAGTCCACACCCCAAAAATAATCAAATTCGAATAATACGTACTTGAGTTATTTACAAAATTCAAAAAATTTTCATGAACTTTGAGGTCAAACAAATCAATTTTGGATATATGTGAATTAGCTTAAATCTGCCTATTTTGAATCCACGAATCTGTGGTCTTCCGTTGTACACTTTATACTGGGACAACCTGTATATCAGATTATTGTAGTGTCTTACTTCTAAAATGTTAACTTCTTGTTCCCTATTATTTAAGTCAATTTTATCTTTTTCATAATCAGTGGAATTAGACCCTAGCTCTTTTTGTTTTTCTTCCAACCGTGACTGACAAAAAGTTAACTGTGTTGAAGCCTGATTACTTTCAGTACAAGCTCTTGCTGCTTCTTGTTTCGCATTCATCAATTGTTCTTGAAGTGTTTCTGCCTCACCATCTTCATTTACTTCCATTCCAGCACTAATTGCTTCAAATTTTCTTTGAGATAATGCAAATGCCTCATTATCTTTTGCATCATCTTTTTTTAAACTCTCAAATAATAATTTTACTTTATTTAGTTCCTGTTCTTTTTCCTGTAAAATTTTACTATCATCTTTTAAATTTTTCTCTAGTTGATTCTTTTTTTTCTGTTCTGTATTAATACTCTCCTTTATTGTTTTAACAGAAGCATTAGCTTTGGCTTCTTGCTTTTCTTTTTCTTTTAATTGCGATTCTAGATCTTGAAGTTTTATACTGTCATCCTGAAATATATGATTTATAAGCTTTTTAATTATTATTAAATAACAAAATTTTTCATTTTATTAAACAATTTAAGATTCTTATATAAAATTATAAATTAGTATAAAATTTCAATGGGACGAAGTCATAATGAAGAAAAACGGAGGCCACACAACAAACATGCATATCAAATAATATTAACAAATGACACATACAAGAACTCATGAAAATTCAACAGATAAAAGGTACAACCCGTCCCTGGAATAAACATGTCAACGAAAATCTACGCTACGAACAAGGCCAATGCCACGACAGGACACTCTCTTAGCAAGACTGATTTCGGAGCCTCACTGTAGAGGACCAGTGAATGGACTCTGCTCATGACTGAAGTACCAGCACCCGATCGTTTCGCAACAACAAAAGTTTCGCGAGTTGAGATATGCACAAATGGAGTTGGAGCCCAGGCACACTAGTGATGGCTTGAGCCTGGCAAGGACAAGTTGCTGAACCCATTCCACGCAACCTGTACAGGACCAGATAGGTAGTAGAACAGATGGGAAATAATATGTACATCGACATCGTCAATTGCGAAGGCTTGCACGTACATATTTACGTCCTACGCCTCCGAGGCTCGATGATCAACAATAAGATAAACTGGATATACCTGATGTACCGAAGGAACTCGTAGCATAAGTTACGGGGCATTTTGCCTAGAACCCGGGCAGAAGAGTGAATAGCATAGTCAATGGGGGATCTCTGTGTATCCATTTTTATTTTAATACCTACATTCAGTTTTTCTCAGCTTTTGTGAGAAAAACATTCAAGTTAGGTTTAATTTGCAGATTCCTTTGCGCCAGCAGTAATCGAACCAGCAAATTTTTGTTACAAAAAAAAACAAAAAAAAACGGAGCCAACAGTGTCACAACCAACTGATTCAACCTGGTGTATAGTCTTTCCGATATCAATTGAAGAACGAAGAGGACTGACCATGAGATTTTTTTAATTTTTTTTTACAAAAATGTTCTATTGCTTATTCCAAAAAAAGTTTAAACTAAAGCATCCATGAATGCATCATGTGAAAAAATAAGTATATGGAGATAAAGAGATGAAACTTTGCAGAGTTGTCAGAGACCTGAAAATTGATTGAAACTGTGGGATCAAGTAGGTGATAATATGATGAGGATAAAAAGTCCCCATGGGCCCGACCATCTCTTATGCACGGAGATACGTGAGCTGAAAGTCACTCAATATAGCCAAATCTGCACTTAGCGTTACCCAAAGTCAACGGCGTGGACGCGACAAATGCTTGACCCCATGTGTGTATGTTAAGTATAATTTATTTATTTATGGAGAAGGGACAAACACAGGCTTTATAGCCCAAAACAATGTCCACAAATTACTTAAAGGTAATTGAATATAAAAGTACAGAAATAATTATTATAATAGAAAATGTTAATTTACAATAATAGTTCCCTTTAAAAATCTTTTAAAACTAATGAGCGAGGAATGAAAGATATCTAGAGTACTATAGTATAAGTTAAAATGTATGCATATTCTGTTTATAGGAGAGTTTTGACCAGAATTAGTTCGATAAAAAGTCTTATGAAACAGTGCATTTACTCTAAAAACATGTAAACAGATCATGGCTAATAAATCTGAGGAATCAAGAAAATCATTGAGAAGCTTATACAAAAATACTGCTTCAGCAATAATTCTTCAATTTTCCAATGAAATAATATGATAATGATTTCGTAACATCGTGCTACAATGAAAAGAATACACATCACTCTCCTTGTAGTGTAAATATCTCATAAATCTGTTCTGTATGGCCTCAAGTCGAGACTTATATATGGTATATTGAGGACTCCATACAATAGATGCAAAATTGATTATGCTGTGCACGTTTGCCAAATATAGATTTAATAGCAAAAATCAATATAAAATTTTTGCAAACTCTGACAATAAAACCAAGCATTTTGTTGCTTTTTAAAGTTATATAATCAATATTTGAAGAAAAACTCATTTTCCTGTCAAAGACAACCCCGAGATATTTTATTTCTTCAATTTGATTTAAAATATTCTTAATAAAGTTATAATTATTAGAGTATATATTTTGGTTACGGGTAAAACAAATATAGAAACATTTACTTAGATTTAATTGAAGCTTGTTCAATTTACAGTTTAAAGAAAGAGTTTAAATCTTCCTGGTAGGCAATACAATTATCGGAATTATTTATTTGAGAGTAAATCTTCAAATCGTCTGCGTAGAGTAAAAATTTACAAAATTTGAAACAATGACAGATATCGTTGATATAGATTAAAAATAGTAAAGGTCCCAAATGTGATCCCTGAGGAACACGTGACATTGCAACGGAGGGGGGAGATTTATAACCACTACTAGTTACTAATTGCGACCTGTTGAAAATATAAGAGGTAAGCCATCTCAGTAGGTTACCATGTACACCAATTTCAGACAATTTAGATATAAGTATATTATGATTAATTTTATCGAGTGCTTTGCTAAAATCTGAGTCTGGCTATCCACGTGTAATATATTGGGAGTATATTACTAAATTGGATTTAATAGATCTATGCGGAAAAAATCCATGTTGCTCAATAATTATAGACAATTTAAGTAAGCTAAGTAAATGCTTATAACATACGCTCAAAAATTTTGCTAAGAATATTTAATTTACTAATTGGCCGATAGCTGGAAACTTCATTTTTATCACCTTTTTTGTAAATAGGAATCACAAAAGCTTGCTTCCATGTGTCAGGAAAATCTCCTTCAAGAGACTTGTTTAAATAACAAAGTGAGAGGGTTACAAAGGGAATTTGCAAATTTTTTACAAAAAATTGAGGGAATACCGTCAGGTCTGGCCCCTTTGTTTTCATCCAGTATATTAGAGTATTTAATACTTCGTCTCTCGTTACAATTACATTGTTAATATTATTGATATTATTGAAGTTATTGATTTTAATAGGACACTGGTCATACGGTTCATAAACACTTTGAAAAAAATTGGCAAAATGCGTACAAATGTCTACACCATTAAAAATAAAATTATCGCCATGTTTAATAGAATTAGGAAAAGAATCATGACCTTTTTGAGAACAAGCATACTGCCAAAATTTTTTAGTATTTTTAGGTATCGCATCTTCTAAAGATTTTATATAATTACAATAATCTTTACATACAGGGTCGGAAAGTCCCCATGGTTCATCAGCCGTTACGTGAGAGCGATAAAGTAAGTCATAGAAATCCGTGCGATAGAGAAAGATGGCTATAATGAAGGCGTCTAATAGTCACTGCCCATTTCGCCCTTCCACAAATAAGAAGTGGATCTTATTTTTGGAAGGGCTAAATGGATGGTGACTATTAGACGCCTTCATTATAGCCATCTTTCTCTATCGCACGGATTTCTGACTTTGTTTATCGCTCTCACGTAACGGCCGATGAACCATGAGGACTTTCCGACCCTGTATAAGTTTCTTAGACCTATGCCTTAAAGTACAGAACAATCTATAATCAGATTCATTTCTATAAGTTTTCCATTTTTTATGAAATTTTATTTTTTCTTTAATAACAATAGTATTGTTTGAAAAGTAGAAAGGAAACTTCTTATTCACAATTTTCTTAGGAACGTAATTAGTTACAACATTAATTAATTTTCTCGTAAAAAGTAGATAAAAATTAATTTATATTTTTGTTCATAAAAAGATCATACCAATTGATATTTTCCAAATAATTATTGATTGTAATGTAATTAGTTTTCTTAAAGTTGGGTATAAGTATTGTTAGACTTTAGTGATTTAATTAAAGGACAAGAGAAAATAAATTCAAGACATGGATGATGAGCGTCCTCATCAACAAATGAACTGTTGCAATATTGTAAACTATACCGGGTGATTCAGTTTGGTATTCGCGGCCTTGTATCTCTTTTATTTTAACAAATACCTATAACAAACCCTATATATTTTTAAATCGCTGCTCAAACTCTATCAAATGACATTATTAGATCCATGGTAACATATGTCAAAATTGCTACAGTCAACTGTTTTTATTCAAATGGCACACTATATATTTTTTTATCAATTCTGGAAGATATTTTTTTTTCTGCGTTCAGCTATGTAAGGAAGTCTATAGTTTCATTAGAAATATTGCTAGAAAAACAGCAAAAAAGATGAACCCTACTTTTCGTAACTTTATTCTAAAAAATGACCAGCTGCGGAAACAAGTTATTATGTTTTTTAAAGTAACATATTTTATTTTTAACACGATAATAATATAACAATTTAAAACAATGCTTATTTCAAATGTTCAAAATGACCTCCATTTGCTTCCAAACACAGAACAGCTCTGTTTATCACTCCTTCTCTACAAACACATTCTACTGTTTCTTCATTTAATCTCCGACATTCTACTCTTATTATGTTTTTAAGATAAATATCATTTAGGTAAGACCAAAGAAAGAAATCTATAGGGGTGAGACCCGGAGATCTAGCAGGCCATTTAACATCTTTATCGAATGTTCTTCATCTCTTGCCCTTCCGAGTTTAAAAACTCTTCTTTTCTTTTGAGAACTTCCATCTGCCGCCAAATTTCTGGCTAACTTTTCGAAAATTTTTTCTGATGGAAGTTGTCTCTGCGGAAAATGATAAATCTATAAATACCTGGCAGCTTTAGCGTTCTTTCAGCCTTTTCCTTAAATTAAAATCATATCTAGCTTTTCTTGGTTACTGTAAGTATTCATGTTATAATTATTAGTTATAGATATAATAGGTAGGTACAAAATGTCAATTATTTTGACAAACCGTTATTTAGAAACGTTCAAATTCAGCTGTTTCCGTAGCTGGCTATAATTTTTCAGAATAAAGCTAACTTAAGTAGGGTTCATCATTTTTGCTGTTTTTCTAGCAATATTTCTAATGAAACTATAGACTTTCTATATATACGCGATAATTTTTAAGATGCAAGCGCTCCAAGCGGCTAAAGCGGTAAGCTCCGAAACAAGGCAAGTTTGACCTTGGCGTTCGGTTTTATGTTTACACATTAATTTGAACATCTATTTTATTTGCCATTATTATTCGTAATTTTGTTATTGGACTTTTGTGTTATTTTATAGGTTTCAAATATTTTATAAATATATTTTAAGGCAAGTATTTATGTCTACCTTGTTTGTTTCTACTGTTTCTAGCATTACAATTTAATATACCTTTTTTTAGGTTATAACTATGAAGTTATCCCTTGTGGAATATATTTCCTATTTAAATGCCAACAAAAATTCTCGTTGTATATCAGAAGGAGAGGCAGTTTTTAACGCTGGTCATGTGGTACTATGTGGGAAAATTGGGCAAAGTGATTTAAATTTAGAAATTTATTTATTCACTGTGTCTCCAAACAAGTGCCCTTACTAAGAACCGTCATGAAATTCAGGGAGTATTGTCTATCGACAATAATAATTTGAAAATTTCCTCAATGGTTTGTAGTTGTAAGGCTGGAAGAAGTGGTAGATGCAAACATATATCTGCCGTATTAATTTTGTGTACAAGGTGTATTTTAGTGTAATTAGGAAAGGCGTAATCATGCCGTTGCAATTTTAATGGTCATTGATCATTGTCTTATTTTGTGTTTCCTTTTCTGCTTGTTTTCTTATGTTTTAGGGAAGATGTGGAGAAAATGGAAACTGTATCCCAGACGGATATAAAATGTATGTGGGCTTCACAAAAACATGATACAAAGGAAAAGTATAGGGCAGTACCCATCCAGGATATGGCATGTTTGTCAAATAAAGTAGTGTACCGTGAATCTATTGACACAGAGAATATTTTAAAACGGTTTATTGAACAAATTCCAAGTTCCTCGCTTGCAAAACATAAGTACAAATGTTTGTAGCATTACGATTCTATTTATTCATTGTTGTTGTTGCAGTGCTGGTAGAAGAATTAATATAGAAACTGTTGAGCTAGTAACCGAAATCACAAATTATAGCAGTATTATGTTAAATAATGCTTGCCAAAGTGTTTTGATGCTAGAGTTGTCCACGACACCAATCAATTTTTATGACGATTGCTGCAAAGTCACATATAATGAAATTTTTGGTACTGGAGAGGTAGATATGTATATTAATAGTATACAGAATACACCATTATGGAATGAAGAAAGAAAGTATCGAGTAACAGGTTCTCGAATATATGAAATGTACACATATGCAAAAAAAGACTGGGAAAAAAAATCCTATACATATTTTTGGCCCAAACATTTTTGTAATAAATTTACTATGCATGGTATTAAACATGAAAAGCAAGCAAAAAAAGTAGTCTCCAAAAATTTGGCACTAGATATTAAGGACTTTGGTATGATAGTATCAAACTCAAATCGATGGCTAAGTTATTCTCCTGATGGCGTTATTTTCGAAAATGGGATACCCATTGCTGTTTTGGAAATAAAATGTATTTTTGCAGGTAAAAAACCTTTTATTGCAATATGTTCAATAAACAAATAAGTGAAGAGCCCTACAGACTTTGTGCCATTCATGTGAACAAAACTGTACGGACCAAATCATGTGAACCAAAGTTGTACATAATCTAACCAAAGCAGATATTGCAAGGCATTTAAATTTTCACCACATTGCATGTTCGATACATACGTGCAAGTCCGTGCCGTCCAATTTGCGTGTATTGAATGAAGCCTGTGGGGTCCATTAATTTAATGTACTACCTAAACAATAAATAACTAAACTACATATTTATAAAAAAATTTACAGTACAACGATAATATAAATCTTTCTTCTAGATATATACATTTTTTTAGGTCGCCAAGCAAATATCAAAGAAACCTTACAAAGCGTGAAGTATTTGGAAACGATTGATGGCAATTTAAAATTTAAAAAATGTCACAAGTATCATGGTCAAGTTCAACTTGGAATGGCTATTTTAAATTTAAATTTGTTATTTGGTTTTATACAGCTCCTTTGACAACAGTTTTGAAATAGTTTAAGTTTACTTTGATTACTATTTTTGTAATCTTCTGTAGTAAACTGTTTATTTTTTAGAAATGGAGGCCTTATTAATTTAATATTAAAATTAGCACATATATCATCTATTAAAAAACCCTTATCAACCATGATACAATCTTTACCCATATCCAACTTTGAAAGAAGGCTGCAATTTTCAAATATATGTTTATCGGAGGCACGGCCGCCATAAGCGTCACTTACAAAACTTATTAGACCCCCAGTGGAAATTCCGATCATAACTTTTACAGTGTGTTCCTTTATAATGGGAATAGAATTTTATTCGACAGCACAGACACTTGGGTTGTTGAATGTAAATTTCAGTACAGTCTAAAATTATTCTTACGTCTTGAAATTCCATAAAACGTTTTGGCATATTTCTTTGTATTCCTTAGATGAAGGAAAGTGAATTAGTGGCCTTAATACTGAGGCCAATAGTGGTATCATTTCAATGATGTAAGTTTTACATAAATTAGGTGTTATTAAAAAAAGTGGATAATATACAGCATAGGTTAAATTTGTCTTTAATTTGATAAACGTCAAAATTACCCTTTCTGTAACCGAGAGTTTATGTTGCCTTTTAGCAATAATTATTTGTGTTACATCTTTTATAATTAAATTTAATGTAATAAAGCTGTTTATACCCGTAAAACTATTTAGAGCACTATATGTGGTTATTAAATCACAGTGTTAACTTTTCAGGAGTGTTCACTTGAACAGCAAAATCAGAAAAATTTTTAGGTCCACTATATTCAGGTTGATAATGGAGAAGTGATAACAATGTTTCAGCTGCTTCTGTTTCTTCTGTAGTAGGTGTAACCTCAGTGCCGTCTTGTTCACAGTTTTCTAATGACTTGGCTTCTGATACTTCTATTATAGTAGACTTAATTTCTCTTCCTTCTATTCTTTTTAAACGAGATAATCCTGAGCTACCTGTCAGATTATTTGAAATATTTGTCAGTTGCGACTTGACAATGGGTAGGTTTTCTGATGGAAATGCATTCCTTTTCAAACTCTTGTTTTTCTTTGATGAAAATCTATAAGATAAACAATAATTAATTAACTGTTCTTTACTCTGGAGTTAGACAGTCACAAAGTATATGCTCAACAGTCTGGAGAATATAGATAAGTTAGATAACTTATATACGTACATTGTACATAGACATTAATTTTCATTATTACAGAATTTCATTAGTAAAAGTTTGATTGAAAAACTTAATTACACATTAGTACTTATTACATTACACAAAAAAGTCTAATTACCGAAGTAATCATGTTCCTTAAAATGACGGGAGAAGACGCACACATTTTTTGACACGGATTTTCCAATTTTTAGATTTAATATCCATGCTTTCCGTACATCTATAAGTTTTCGATTTCCAGATTTTGTTGTCCAGTGAATTTTATTTCTACCAGCTGGCGGAAAAAGATGAAAACTTAATTCTTGATTTTTCTTGGATCACGAAGAGCAACCATGAACTGAACAATAATAGTTCAACAGTTTCTTCTTTTTATCCATAACTGCTGAAGTTTTCCTCACATTATTTTCATAAAATAACAGTGTTCAAAAAACAAACACTGAACACAGTTTTAAATAAAATACAATATGAACTGTCACAAACACACAAGAAATAAGAAATGTTTACTTTGTTTCGCTAGTATCACTTGTCACTGCCAAAGCGCGAGCTCTTATATCTTATATTCGCGAATAGCTGAACGCAAAAAAAAATATCTTCCAGAATTGATAAAAAAAATATATAGTGTGCCATTTAAAGAAAAACAATTGATTATAGCAATTTTGACACGTTTCCATGGAGACGATGTGATAATGTCATTTGATAGAGTTTGAGCGGCGATTTAAAAATATATAGGGTTTATTATAGCTATTTGTTAAAATAAAAGAGATACAAGGCCGTGAATATCAAACTGAATCACCCGGTATATGTTATCACAATTAGATAAAATTAAATCGAATAATCTATTGCTAATATTTAATACTGAATTAAATTGTTTTAACCCACAATAGGAAAATGTGTCTATTAATGTAAAAGATCTTTGATCAACATTTAAATGAGTGAAGTGTATACAAATATTTACAGAGACCCAATTGACCATAGGTAAATTGAAATCACCATATATGAGAAATATGTCATCAGGTAGAGAAGTAAACAGTTTATAAAGATTATTACTAAAGCAAGCAGCGGCATAAATGTCAGCTGGAGGTAAATAAACGCAGCATAAATGTATTTTAACTCTCTTGTCGACTACAAGTGATACCCATATATCTTCCGCTTCACTTTGCCAATCAAATTTTCTCAGTGCCTGTATATCAGATCGTACTGCCACCAGCACCCCACCTCCATCACGATGACCACTATCAGAACTATTGCGATCACGCCGAAATACAGAGTGGCTATTAGTAAAAATTTCACTATCGGACAAACTATTGTTCAACCAGTACTCCGTTAGAAAAATCAGGTCGGCATTACTGTTCACTGTACTTCACTGTACTCACTGTACTGATCACTGTAATGTTTCAATATCCAAGTAGACAATCCTCGATGATGCAATACGCCCTCGAGAACATTGGATTGAGGTTATATTATTATACAGAAAGACACGTGACTCCATTTGCGAATCGTTTGTATAATCCTACACCACAGGAACTAAAAGCAGTCACCTATATTGACTGCAGTTCCATAGATTTTGAGACGAGCTCTTGTTCTAAAGCACTAAGACAATCACACTGTGTCCACAAAGGTAAAGATTTGGTAAAGCCTTCAATGATAGTTACCTACTCCTGATGGATTACATTCAAGGTCTTTATTTTTCAAATTCAGCTAACAACTATGCCAGAATTCTCCTGAACGAGTTTAATAGAGCTGTTAATGGAATGCGAGACTGTTTTCGACAACAAGATATATGTACTGTAGATAGTGGATATCGAGATGCTATTCCTACCTTCCATAGAATTGGTTTGAATACGAAAATGACACCACCACTACAGCCAAATCAGACTCAATTCTCAACTGAAGAGGCAAATGAGTCAAGACTAATAACCAAAACAAGATGGATAGTAGAGGCTCGAAACGGACATCTCCAAAGAATATTCAAGTTTTTTTCTTACACATATTCCAAATATGAGTGATTTTCTTCGAATTGCGGGAGCTATAATAAATAAATATATCAGAATTATCACGATGGCAAGCACAGATGAAAATCTAGCTGATAGATTGCTGATTCAAGTGCAAGAAGTTAACTTTGTTCAGGCAAGAGTAAAAATAGAGAACCTGGGGTGCCGAAGAGCACAATAGGTTGAATTAACAGCTGGCAGAATTGATCATGATGAGGAAGAAGATGAAGAACGCACTTTTTCCTTGGATGAAAATACACATGAACCAGCTCACGTATTTCCGAAACCGTGGATAGGCGGTGGTCGGGCCCATGGGGACTTTTGATCTGCATTATATCACCTACTTGATCCCACAATTTCAAGCAATTTGACAAAAAGTCTTTTTCCATTAGTTTTGTGCGGGGTCGTTTATAAACACAGTATTTGTGGACCTTTATAACAATAATTATTATAGTCCAGGCGATATCTGTTTCGGGTTGGATAAAACGCATATGATCGGAGATTTTTGCTTTAACGGCTTCTAAATAACATCAGAAATGATAATATTTCTATGCAAATAAAAAAAAAACGTGGGCTTAATTGTTATTACAAAAAAGTATAAAAAAGATAGCAAAAAAATTCAGTTTTTTATTGGATTTCTCGTCGACAACTTAGCAACTATTCATTTTACACAAAAATGGAAGAAGAGAAAAGTTTTGTAATTAAATTTTGATCAAGATAGAGTTAGTTGCAATTCGAAAAAGTAATTATTGTTATTGCAAAAATCGGGAAAATCATTAAAAAATTGCAAAAAATGCTAGTTTATTTGTCAATTTTTTTCAGACACTTGAATAATACCTAGGATCTTCATACTTTTCCCAATTAAACTTCTTAGTGCATAAAATCATCACACCAAATTTCATCCAATTCGGTTCGATAGTTTTTACATAACACCTAATTATTTAAATTATTTTTTTTAATTAAAAAAAAAAATTTTTAAATTTTCAAAATCAAATTTCTAAAAATCTAAAGCCTTTGAATAATTGAAACTTTCACCACAAAAAGAAGAGCTATCAAGCTTTAAAATGGTTTTTGAAAAATTCAAATCGGACGATTAGGTGAGTCGTGGTTTAAACATTTTCGCAATTTTCACGCTTGTAAACAACTGCAATAATTTAATGCTTTTTTCAAATTTTTTTTTATTTTAAAATATGGTTTGAAAGTACTCGGAAAGACGAGTATTTTAAAAAAGAACCTGATGATCTGCCCATTAATTTCGGAGTTATAGCCCGTTAAAATTAACCCTTATATACAGCAAAACTATAAGGGTATAAGGGCTGTTTTTTGAACTAATAGGTTTGTCATTCCAAGTACTTTCCAGATATAAATTTTCAAAATTTGTAATCACGGGCGTCCCATTTAAAATGTCACTCAAATATATTCAAGACTGGGTGAAATCAATGAATTATCAGTGGTGGGGGGAGCAAACACACAGCTACTCCGATCTGAATTCTCGAGTTCAAAACTGCGACACTTGGAAAAATGTCACTTATCTCAGCTTCTAATGGACCAATTTTGATGATGTTTTTTTAAATCGATGTCTCACAACTTAAAAAATTCAATTATCATATTTTCAACTACCTTTTATTATTAATTATTGGACTTTTGACATGCCGATAAACAGTTACTTTAAAAAATGATTAACTGAATTGAATTGAATTGAAAACTAAATTTTTTAAATGATTTTTCTGATTTTTGCAATAACAATAATTATTTTTTTGAATTGCAACTATATCTTGATCAAAATTTAATTACAAAACTATTTTTCCTTTTCCATTTTTGTCTAAAATGAATAATTGCTAAGTTGTCGACGAGAAATCC